ATGTTTATCCTGTATTTTGATTGTGTTTATCTGCAGTTAGTTACGCGAATTCAGATATGGGATCAAATCGGATAGGAATGAAATCGTTTAGGGATGAACGAGTTTAAGAGTTTTAGCCAAATGTTTTATAAGATAGTATATATATATATATATATATATATATATAAATAAGTGGTTTATTTTAGGGCAAATTGCATGAAAAAGTAACGTAATTTAACTTCATTCCTATTTTAGGTAACGTACTTTCAAAACTTTCATTTTGATACCTAAGATGTAAAGTTTTAAACATTTAAGTACCCGGGTAACCCAATGATGACTAATTTTAGACTTAAAAAAAGACTAATTTTAGATTAAAAAAAATCACGTCACTGACTAGGTCAACAAATAATACCGAGTTGGATACCACATCACTCGCCACATCAGTATGATAACCGGTTAATACTTCAACCAGTTACCCGGGTACTTAAATGTTTAAAACATTACATCTTAGGTACCAAAATGAAAGTTTTGAAAGTATGTTACCCAAAATAGGAATGAAGTTAAAGTACGTTACTTTTTCATGTAATTTGCCCAAAATAGAAATGAAGTTAAAGTACGTTACTTTTACAACCTATACAACCCATGCAACCTTATCTTAACCATAAATCACTAAATTATCTCCTCTCTCTCTCTCTCTCTCACACACACACACACACACAGTTTTCTTCCCCAAGACATGGCTACGTTTCTTCCTCGTCTCTATGGCCGCTTTTTCTTTCTCTTCTTCATGGATGCTATTTGTAGAGGAGAAGAAAGAGCATATGATACTCATTCACATTTCACACTCCTCATGTTGAGACTTGAACCTACCTTTAAGAATAATGGGCATTATGGGTATCTCTATAACACATATTAATTCTTTTTTTTTAATTAAACCGGATATCTAATCCGTTATGCGAACTAATTAATCTCAGGGCAACCATCCGTGAGCCCGTAGTCACCACATTTAAACCTCCGTGGTTACAAGAGATTTTTATTTCTTCTTGGATTCGAACATGAGATCTTTAGGCACTTTTGACCTTTAAAGCTCAAGCTCGAACCAATCGGACACTACCCTTATGGTTTTAATTCTTAGATATTAATTAATTAATGTATCCCTTGGATTGGATTAAACAACAACGATAATATGTGAAATTTAGTCATATGTGGACAATCTTGACCGTCTCCTTCCTAGTGCATGAATAGACCCATCCTAGCTAGGTTTGTTGCACAGTCAATGAACTCTTGTAAGAACTAGGAACTACCTGCTACTTCTTTGTTAGTTTCTTCCATGTCTTGCAGATTATCGTATTTATATAACTTGTTGGCTTTAGCTTCGTCTTCAGTAGCACCACTCTCAGACAGGTAACTTTGGATTGCTTTTGGATTATCCCTCTTGCCATTTCGTCCTTATTTAACATATATAATAATAGTTATTGTTTAAGTTAACTTAGTACTAATGGAAAATTAATACATCTTCATATTTGAAACAAAATTAGATATAATATAATGTACGAATAACCGAAAATAAAAAATAAAAATAAATAGTTATCGAGGACGTCCCTAAGTCATCAACAAGTCCGAAGATGAGTTATGATAGCAAAGGGTAATGTGTTCTACGGGTTTTACGATGGCTTAATATAAAAAGAATTTTGAAGTATTTGATTAAACTATTTTTTTTTATTTATTGGTAACGTGTAACACTTTATTCTTTGAAAATAAATTGATGAAGTATTTGAATTATTAACACAAAAAGTCAATCTATTTTTCTTGGTCTTTTTAGAAGAAAAGATATAATTCTTCAGCAAGATCCTAAAAAAATATCGAACCAAAGTAACCCTACATCTAATTCTGACAATTGAGAACCCCTGTACACAAGTCCAACAGTCTTGTTTGCCCCGGATTTTAAGGCCCGTGTTCCGTCCTTGCTAGTAGACCTATAGTCTCGGTACATGTGAAAAACAAACACTGTAAAAAAATTGGAATGCCCATGATTCTATTTCAAGTGAAAATCTGTGATCACAAGGCGTTTATGCGATGCTTAATTGATAAAAGAATAGATAGAACTCGATATAAACCCAAAAATTTCCAACATGCATAATTTAGAAATTCAACTTAAAAAAATCATATTGATGTGAACTAAGAGGAAAAGGTTATGGCATCACGATGTTTAAACAATGAAATTTTGATAGAACTCAATAACAACTTGATAGTACTCAATAACAACTTGATAATAACCCAAAGCAGATTCTGAAAAAATTAACAACTCAAACAAAAAAAAATCATATTAATTCAAGTTAGAGTGAAAATTTTGTAGTTTGTTGTTTGTGATAGTATTTAATTTAAGCCTACGTGCAGTGTAACTCCTCCATTACTTCTGGATATAAATTAATATGAGTGTTTGAATGCTTAGCAATATTTAAACAATTAATCAAGCAGTTATAAGTTATATCAAATGCTAAGTTCAAGAATAATCTAACTTAACTGTCAAACCCAACATTAATTAAGCAACAAGATATCACTTAATTTTGGAAATGATCAATTCCCTAGATGATCTCAAATTAATGAAAGATAAACAGTCTTGGCTATTAGTTAATGTAGACCTTCGATTGGATTAAACAACAACGATAATATATAAGATTTAGTCACTAGTTCTGGACGACCAACCCCGTCTCCTTCACCATACATGAACTGTGCCATCCTAGCTACGTTTGTTGCACATTCAACGAACTCCTGTAAAAATTGAGAACCTGCAACACCTGTTACTTCTTTGTTAAGTTTCTTCCATGTCTTGCTGATTAACAATTTCATATAACTTCTAGCTTCGGCTTCAGTAGCACCAGTCTCATTCATGTAACAATTAATTGCTTTTGGATTATCCCCTCTTGCCATTTAATCCTAATAATTAATTAAGTTTAGTTAGTATTTTATATTTGAAACAAAATACAATCACTAAATTAATAATGACAAAATGTATATTGTTATTAGTGAGTATAATAAAGAAATTAACAAGTATTTATATATTCGAAACATCGATCGGAAAATTAATTTGATATAAATGGAAAGAAAAAGAACATAAGGGAAAACAACAAAAAGCTTTGTCATTCACTGAAAATACTTTGATGACTCAATTTATAGGAAAGTTATTTTAAGGTCATATCTAATACTTAGAGTTTGCAATATATTTCAATTTTCCAAGTTGATCCGATCCATTCGTTCGTAGAGCTAATTGCTCACTGCTTCACACCCAAAAAGAAGGGAGCTACTTCTAAATTAAACTTAGGCTCTTAAATAGTCTTTTGAAAAACAGAAAACTACTAATCTAAAGAAACTGAAAAGATAGACCATGCAAAAAATAAGATTGAAAAGGTCATACATGACCCGGTAGAACCCAAAAAAGTTTTAACAAAAAAGGACCATTTGTGCACCTTCAATAAGTACTTTTTGGTAAATTAACAAAGCAATATCTTTAAACGAATAATATATATATATATATATATATATATATAGTTACCGAGAATGTCCCCAAGTCGTCCACAAGTCGCAAGATTAGCGATGAATATCGAACAATGTTGTCAGTTCTTTCCAAGCATTGCTGGATCTCTTGGGTTGAAATCATAGATGTCAAAAAATAACAATGCATGAGTATTGTAGGTCCCGATATTGATATATAAGCGTTGTCCAAGTATTCTTGGAGTGTTGGTGTATGCCCACTTTGGTACCACTTTGCTTCTACCAGGTATGACTTACATAAATCTGCCCACTGTTCCAACATAGTTAAGACAATTTAGATTTGAATCTGATCACAAATTAAGGAATTAAACATAATATTAGTTAATAATGATGGATTAATTACTGCTTTCTTTAGGTATGGAAGGATGAGTAATCCTGTGTTTGTCAAATTGTCATATGTGATCTCATTTATGGTGTTGTAGAATCCAAGGAAACAAATCTTCATATAATCTGGGAGTTCTTCAATTGCATTGATATCCCATCTACGCATTCAAATTTTCTTTTTAATCTTCAGATTTCATGAAATTATATATGCAAATTAAATACTAATTGATCGATAAACATTTGATTCAAATGGAAGTAACAACGATTAATTAATATTTACCTGGTGGTAACATCGGTAAATTTTTGAAGTTCGTCTAAAGTACCATAAACATCATAGACATCATCAATAGTAGTAATTATGGAGTTAACCTTTGTTAGCATTTTCCTTCCAATGCTAAACTTTGGTAGGTAACTAAAACCAACTGTCCACAGAAAGTTCTCCACCAACCGGTCTCGACAAAAGCTTAACTTCTTATCCCAACATGTATTTCTCCACCACCTATATATTCAATTCATAGCTCTATATCATTGGCGATTAATAAATAATGTCATCAAAACTTGTAGGTCTTCTTCTTATGTAAACATTATAAACATGATTATATGCATTATGTATTTAAGATCTGTTTATATGTGAACCATGTTTCTACATGAACCTTTTAGGTGTTCATTTGTATGTAGAAACGGTATCCCAAAATGAATGCGTGTTTTCTAAACAAGCTTCTTCTACAACTTAACGAAAATACTCTTTGTTCACTAATGACTCCCAAAATGAACTCACATTTCATTAATAATATTGCAACATTGCCATCAATTCAATCTAATCCATTGATTGGAAATTTGTTGGATGAGATCGGTTGATTAACAAAGTTTTCACTATATATTTGGTTAATATTTGAATGGACCAATATATAGGTGTATATATCATGTATATATATATATATATACAGGGAATAAATGGCTAAATAACTCGTAATTAAGAAAGGAATGATACCTTGATGAGTATTTTAGATCTTGAAGGTGGATAGCCTGGACCATGTTAAAATCCAATATTGCAAGCTCCATCAATGTGAGATCAATCATACCACTTGTTTTCTTGCATTCTTCTATAAACCACTTGGCCTCTACTCTTGGTACTCTCCAATGCAGTGGAAACTCCAAAGCATGACTTACTAATGACCATAAACTACTACTTCCATCAATCGTATCTCGAATTTGTTTTAGATATTCGGTGGTGAAGTCTCTAACATCATCCAAGATGCTTTCATCCTCGAATGAATGATAAGAAGCCTCATACAGGTTCAACATTTCCACCACATCAATATCCCCTTTAACATGTTCAGTCTTGTGCTTAAAGTCGTGAAAAATCTCTAAATCAAATGAAGGAATGTATAAATTTGTGTTTTATAGTAACATAAGATGCATGTGATAAAAGATTCTTGAATATTAATCAAGTTTGTACCTTGAGGAACATGATAACCATGTTGTCTGAGTAGTCGAAAGCCAAGGGCCCTAAGGTTCATATCCATTCCATTCCATTGCTCCTGAGTTTTGAAGTGATCATCGTAAATCAGCTCCAAGACTTGATTTATTTCTTCCTCAAAATGATACGATATTCCGAGTCTCTGCAAATTGTCAACCAGCGCAAGGCTGTTCAATGGATTGCCCGTTACTTTCTGTATCATCGTCTTTACAGCTTTCTTCAAACTAGATGCTCTTGCCTCGTAATCTTCTTCCTGCATGTGTAATTAAGTTATATACATATATTATATATATATATATGTGTGTGTGTGTGTATATATATATATAGAGAGAGAGAGAGAGAGAGAGTTTGGTTCAAATACAACCCATCGCATTTGTACAATCAATGCAACCCAATATATTGAGATATTTATGGAAATGATGAGAGTTCATTTATTATGATTTAAATATTTATGCAAGATGAATATGATTCATTAATTATGATCGATACTTTATATTTATGATTGATACTTTATATTAGGAAACAATAAAAACTTCTATGAAATCACATGTTAATCAAATGAAATGGACGGTTGCGATTGTGTTGTATTGGTTGTACAAATGTCAAGGGTTGTATAATAACCAACATCTCTCTCTCTCTCTCTCTCTCTATATATATATATATATATATATATATATAGAGGAACGATCAAATGAAAACCGCCCACGTTTGTGTAAACCAATCTCATCCATCTGTTTTTTTGATCAATGGTCAAGATTAGTTTAGGTTATATTAGGAAATTAAAAAAAAATTATTTTATAATCCTTATAAGGGCAAAATGGTAACTTTAATTTGGTAGTGCTAATATTAATGGCAACCATATCATGTATATCGTAATATTAATGAAACAAAATCATTTGTAAAATAATATATTAATTTTATGTTCAAATATTATAAATAAAATTACATCCATCATTAAAATAGATTAACAATAAAAATAAAACACACTATAATCAATTTAACATAATGAAACCTTTTGAATAAAAAAAATTACTACTACATTTCATGAATGAAATGGTTTCACAGTTTAGTCAATACACAAATCAACATAATGCTAGATGACACATTTATCATTTTCATGTTATTGGTAGATGGATATGTTTCAATCTAATTATGAAATTGTTTCACTGTTCGCTAATTACACAACATTTTCTTAACAATTATGAAATGGTTTCACTTTCGTTATGCACCCATTTCATCGGCAAATTTTTTTCAATCCGAACACGTTTCATAGCGTCAATGCATTTACCATTACAGGCTTTGTTAACCATTAAGTGAACAAAATTATCCAAAGAAAATTAAAAAAAATGAAACAATTTCATCAATAATGAAATTATTTCACTATTCGCTAATTACACAACATTTTCTTAACAATTATGAAATGGTTTCACTTTCTTTGTGCACCCATTTCATCAACCAATTTCTTCAAATACGAACACGTTTCATAGAGTCAATGCATTTACCATTACATGTTTTGTTAACCATTCAAATACACACACTCTCTCTCTCTCTCTATATATATATATATACACACACATATATATATATATACATATATATATATATATATAGGGGTTGGTTAAAATATTAACCAAGTTTATTGTGTTAACTTTGTTAACCAATCTTGGCCATTGATTCTTACAATAAATGGTTGTGATTAATCATATTAAAAATTTAATTTATTAAATTTACAATTTCACAAACATATGTGAACTAAGTGGAAAATGGTATTTATGTAAAATATCATGTACTTTTGATACCATCAGTTACCAAAACAGTAAATATCGTTACCAAAGTGTCTTGAATCATCTCGGAACATGTATGAACACAACATGAACAGTTATGAACACAATAAGAATAGCTGCTACATGAAAGGTAAGAAATAAAAAAATAGTTATGAACACAATATGAACAGCTTGTGAACAATAGTTGCTTCATTATGAACACATTCAGGAGCCAGACACTGTTGAGAAATGCAACTAGTCTACATATGAACACAATATAAACAACTTGAGAACAATAGTTTTTTTTATTATGAACACAAATCGACATATACAAAATCTTTCAATCAGTTACGAACACATGTCAACTATCTATTCTTGCTCATAATCCTCTCCCTACATGTGTAATAAATTAAGTTATATATGATTAATATATATGAGCAGAATTGTTCATGAATGTATATAACAGAAGAATTAAAATATTGAATGGAGAACAAGTAAAGAGAAAAATGGCAATTAATCTTACGGTGTATTTACTAGAGAGTGATTGAACATGATCAAATGACCATAGTGGTGGCGCATAGTTAGCTGATCGTCTATTGAGTGACTTATCCTCAGTGACGGCTATTGATTTCGACTGTGATGATGAACATAATGGCTTGCAAACATCGAAGCCTCTAGTTGTGGCAAGATGGTTTTTATAGTGAAGAATTGAACACGGAAAGAA